TGGGTGTTGTGCAAAAGTTTCATTCCCAAATCTCCATGTCACCACATCAGGGAATCGGTGGCCTCTTTCCATTTGAGCGAAGGGTGGCACCGCTCTTGACATGGGTATAAAAGATAGAAAAAAAATCAAATCAAAACTGGAGCTTTCGTTAGAATAAAAGAAGTAAAAAGGGAGAACAAGAGAGATCCGTACTAGCGTCCAAATCCAATACAATGTATTTTTCTTTCTTTCTTCTTTTATCTAATTAGTTTCTAATATGATAGTGATGATGAGGAACAATGTTTGATTGTAATAATATATCTAATTAGTTTCTAATATGATAGTGAGGATGATAATCAAGTTTGATTTTAGTAATCGAATACATATTAATATTTTATGGAAAAAAATACTAACCCTAGAATCCGACGAGGTCTTGTCGTCGGCCTCTCCTGGTCGCTGGCGGTTCCCTATTGTCATTCTACCACCAAGGCGAGAGAGCAAGAGAGAGGGAGGAGCGGAAGAGAGGGAGAGAGAGTGGCCTTAGAAAGTCCAATCTGAAGAATAAAAGACAACTTTTAGACTTGATAAATTCCCTATAACCCACTGCCTTATCATAAATTATTAGGAAGTCCAGAAGCTAGTATATGAGAGTTATAAAATTTTGATAAATTGCTAAAGTTAGCAATAAGCTCATCTGTACCCTAGATTTAATTATTATTGATTATATTTGAATTTATTTGGCTCTAGATCATGAATTAATTTACCTATAATATATGTTGTCCTGAATTAATAATTAGTCTTATATCTTATATTATAGGATCTGGTTGATATTCAAGGGAAATAATATTTTGGGGAAGTCGTGTCCACTAGAGGTGGATTCATTTCTCACTAGTATTTTTATAATATGAAATTGCATGAGTGTTATGTTTGATTTATCTTATGATCGATAAATAAATAATATATCATTTTCATGTAAATCAAGATTTGATCTACTTCTGTTGTGGTGTAAACCGTAAATATAATGTTGTTTCATACAAGATATGAAAACCTATTTGATTTTATACGAACTATAAAAAACGAATTTGTCTCTCATGCAATTTCAACTAATTGTGGGCATTGCTTTATCTAAAAGGTTTTTTTGATGAAGTACTTTGAACGTATTTCAACGGTTTAACAGATTCAAAGATTTTTGTGACTTAGTATGTTTTTTGATGAAGTACTTTGAACGTATTTCAACGGTTTAACAGATTCAAAGATTTTTGTGACTTAGTATCTGATAAAAATAAAGAAAAGTGAAAATATTCAACGGTTTAACAGATTCAAAGATTTTTGTGACTTAGTATCTGATAAAAATAAAGAAAAGTGAAAATACGTAAACCGTTTCAACTTGGATAAGAAGTTTACCTTGTCCACTTCATTTGAAAATATCTGTAATTTTGATACGCAAAATATTACTCATTTAACAAGTGATTGTCGATGTTTTCAAACCCTCTAAAAGTCCACTATTGAGTAATTATGCCTGCCATATGATGAATGCACCTTATTCGGCCCCTCTGTATTAGCCTTCTGTATTGGTCCTTCTGAAATTTGTTCTGGCCCATCTGTATTTGGCCAGTAACCTATGGCAGTGATAGGTGCATTCGATTCCCGAGAATTGTCTGTTATGTGATGCGTTTTACGCATTCCCATGCTACTGGGCTATAACGCGTAGCCTTAATGTGACCTATGAGGTGACTTTTACATTCATGAATAACTCATCGAGAATTAAGATTTTGACAATTAACTATGAAATTGAGAAATTAATAATCCTCTGGTTTTGTATAAATTAGTAGTTCTTTTCTTTTTTTGTATAAATTAGTAGTTCTTTTCTTTCTTAATGATTACCTTAATTCAAAAAAGGTTTGATTCTATGAAATGTCTCAGTATATTCCGTTGGACATAAGAAAGAAAATATAATTGTCGTATTCTTTCTTGAAAACGATAATATTATGATATTTGGATCGTATTTTGCTATTTTTGAATTTCTGATGCAAAATTTATAATTCGTTATTATGGGAATTATTCTTATTAGTTATCTAGGAACTCTAGTGCGAAATGTTCTCACTAAGCTCTAGCTCACCCCGTCGTTTTAAAAAAAATTTAGATCCGAAGTAGTTTCATTCTAGCCGAACTTTTGGTTATGACGTTTTGCTGAGAGGCGTTATATAGAAAGACTCCTTTTTGATGTTACATACAGTCAACAATGTGCTTTGTTTTGTAAAATGCTTATAAAGGTGAGCTTGTGGGTTGTAAGTACCGATTATATATGTATATAGTTGCTCTGCGCTTCTATCATCAACAGGTTTATGAATATTTTGAGATTAACTATGTGATATGAAATGTCAGGCTTGACTCGTGCATAGACTTGTCTCGTGAACGAGTCACTGCTATCGCGTACCCCGTATTTTATAAATTTCCGCTACAGTTTCGGGGCGTGACAAGTTGTATAATTGATTAAATATCAATAAACTTCCTACAGTAATATACTCATTTCCGCAACAAAATTTCAAATTTCATCGCCTTTGATGCGGTTCCTTTAACTGCTAATTCTATTCCACCCGAAGGCTAGTTATAAACAAACATTGACGTGTACGCCGCCAAAGAGTAGTATCTGAATCTGCATCTGATGATGATACTACTGCAGCGGCTGAGGCTGTAAACAACTACGAATTATATAGTATATCAGTCTGAGATTTTACCAGATTGAATTGTCATTGGAAAAAAGGAAATAAATCTAACAGAGTTTGTCCAACTTCGTCACTCTGTGATCAGAAACAATATTCACCCTATCCCTCTCACAATGTAAGATGTTAATTTCTTCACATACATAACACTGGCATTTACACAAACCATAAAAGAACTAACAGAACATGTAGCGTCAAAAGTGGTACATTCAGATCACTTATATACGTAATGACTCATGCGACTGCAATATTTTGAGAATACACTGATGTCTTTAAGCCATGATCCCCTTGAAGAAACTCTAACATAATCTCAGCTACCGACCCTGGCTTTTCAACATGAGGAAGATGACCGCATTCTGGTATCTGACGTAAAATTGAATTTGGGAGCTCGATGTCCAATCTCTGCAGAATATGTCAGGATGATATCAAAACACGAGCAGTCTCTAGAGGTCAAGTATCACAGAAGATGATTAAACCAAACACAGAACACAAAAGTTTCAGGACTCTCCATTGTCTACATGTAAATTATAAGGACACTCCACAGGCTTCTTATAAAGGTTAATTTTATGGAAGTTGTAATCATCACTCGTTTCAAAAACATGTTAATTGGAAGCTCTCATTTATCACCATGAGGGTAAGGGATGTAACCATTAACTTGGTTTAAGGACTGGGGAAAACTTGAATCAAATGGGATCAGTTGCTTCAGTTTAGACATCACCAGACTAAGCTCGCATCCCAACAAGAAGAGGACTCTAAGGGCTGCAAGCTTAACAGCATAGCATATCTTGGCAAATAGGATAGTAAAAGTCAAGCCTGTGAATTTTTTCATGCTTGCCACTTAGAGCATACTGATGTGATTTTCTTATTGTAGGATTTTGTGATTTTTTTTTCTTGGGTGGGTCTTGGCAGTCAAAGAACTAGCCATCTAAGCCCATCATTTAGAGAGCACATTCTTGTGGGATGGAGTGCAAGTAAGCAGTCTATTTTAGAAACCATTCAACCCAATGAAATGATGATGTGCGAATAGAAAGAAATCTGTCCTACATAATGCTAAATTTGTGAGCTGGAGAGACATTTGAGTTGTGAATTGTACCCTCATTTGCTCTCAGTAATCAAGGTTTGACAGCGAATGGATAGAGCACGTGAATCTAGCTAACGATAAAGATCCTGGAATAACATCGAATTGGCAACATTTTAAACTCTGCAATTTTGGTTCGATGATACTTATCTAAGTCTTAACATTAGCATCAGAGCCATAAGGTTAAGTTTCATGCTCAATTGTTTCTTTAACATCGTTCATATGCCTTTGTGTTGAATATATGCACATTAAGTGGAAAAAAGAAAGCTTACTGATGTTTAATAGCAAATTTTAATATACTTCTTCTGATCTCATATTGGCATGAATGATAGATTATATGTATGGATCATCTCTGAAATTTTTCAATTAAAACCGTCATGTAGTTTAAGAGAGATTTATTTTTAAAGTTCTATATGTTTTGAATAAGCAAAAATTTGCAGTAAAATTTCGATCTGCACTTTGAGTGATGACACTGAATTTTATTCATATCATAGAACTATGTCAAAGCTCTCTGTAGACATATTATTTGCATGTTTTTTATGAGAAGTCGAAAAGTTATAATAGCTTACAGTTTGCATAACACATGGGTTTTTCATGTTGCAAGGTAGAAGCTTTTTTCGCAAAACAACCCCTCTTCGTTTATTTATTTTCTATGAACTGATGTTTTTCTGCAAAAGTCCTTACTTTCCCAAAAAAATTGTGAACAATTTATGATCTTTGCAAAATTACATTTTCATCCAAAAGTTTTTTGAAATCTGTAAACAGCTGTTAAACTACAGAGTCCATGTGAATTAAGTACATAAGACTTTTAGAACTTACATTAGAACTTACAAGTAAACAGTCGCGCACGCGCACTTACATATATATTTGCATGAGAAGTCTTAGGCTAGTTATTGGTAGCATATTCTAAAAAAATCACGCTTAATTTCAAGATTTTTCGGACAATTGAATTATTAAATAATGGTCAAATTCTATTAATGGGAGATGATTGGATGTATTACATTTCTTTCGATTCCACGACTTTGTTATTATTTATGTGCCATTATTATGTTTCTAATTGACTATGGTTGCTACAAAGGGTATCATTGCTGACCTCAATAATGGGCCGAAAGTGACTAAGAAGAACTACGATGTTCGGCATCCCAAGGGTCACAATCTCCTCGAGGAGCAAGATATGCCGGAAACCATAATATAATTAGTGATTGAGCCCAAGGAGGGCAATACTACACAACATGGGTGTGATCAAGAAGCGTTTCAAACTTGGAAGAGGAAGGGTTGTGTTGCTTGCATCTTATTGCTGAGCAACATGAGAGATAATATCACGCAGTGTTGTGAGAAGTATTGTTCAACTATGGTAGTTTGGGATGCTGTTATGCTCCATGGTGGTGGGACTTCCTCTACCAGATTACCAACTCACTCTCAAGTTTGATAATTATAGGAAGCGCTATGATTATTCGATGAGGTAGCATGTTACTATTATGTCAAACATGATTAGTGAGTTGACAACAGGGCATAACCTTTCTAATGAACAATAGGTTCAAGATGTCATATGTTCTCCACCTAGCTCATGGGAGCACATGCGGGTTAACCTCACCTATAATGACAATAATAAGACCTTCGACGATGTTGCTTGCCATGTGGAATTCGAGGGGTAGACCTAGAAACCCGATAGGCATACATGGCAAAGATATGTTGGACCAAAGTCTTAGAAAGCTAGATATGCCAAGCGCAAGACAAAGATGGCATGTCACAACTGCAATAAGTTAGGTCACATCACTCTTGAATGCACTAAGACAAAGATATGTGATACAACGTCCGATTCTCCTGTATTTGCTAGTAGTTGTTTAATGATAGCTGAAATTGTTCCTATTTGGACTGTAGACTTAGTAGCAACCGACCACATAATGAGAGATTTGACAGCATACATGGAGTTTTGTCGAATTTCTGTTGAGAGTAGACGTATTTACATGCAAAACAACTCCAGCGCAGAGGTCCTTAGGATCGGCACGTGCAAATTAGATTTGCAAGGTAAACGCAAGTTGTATATTCGCAATGTGTATGCGCCCAAGGTCTGGTGAAGTCTTGTCTCGGTCCTATTTATTCTAGGTTTAGACTTTAAATATATGATTGAAAATGGTTGTGTTATGTTGTATTTGGAAAATACTCATTATGGTTGTAGATATTTGTAGATGATTTTATGGCATTGAACACTATATTTGTTTGTAACAATGCCAGTAGTTGTTTTTTCTTATATTGTCTATCTAGTAATATCTATGATGATTTTAAATGACATGCTCGTTAGGGTACATAGAGCAAGAAAGAATGAAAAGATTAGCTCGAGAGGGTTTTCTAGGCCCACTCGCTAAAGCTGACTAGCCTACTTGTGAGCATTATTTTGCTAGAAAAACATTTGGCTAGAAAAACATTGGCAAAGCTGTGAGAGCCACAACACCCCTGAAACTTATTCATTCTGACATCTATGGCCCAATGAATGTGAGGGAAAGACATGGTGACTCATACTTCATCACATTTATAGATGATTTTACTCGATATGATCATGTCTATTTAATCTCGCATAAGTCGGAAGCATTAGATTGCTTCATATGCTAATACTAGATTGGTTATGAATCAATTAGACGAAAGAGTTTAAGCTCTTAGAACTGACTGTGATCTTGAACATCTATCCGAGCAATTCATGAGACTATGTGATGAAAAAGGGACAGCAAGATAGCTAACTGTTCATAGAACTCTGTAACAAGATACTGTTGCAAAACCCTTTTTGACATGGTTAGATCGATGATAGTACAAGCTATTTTGTTTATCTCCTATTGAAGAAATGCATTATTGACTACAACCTACATCTTACATCTGTAATAATGTGCTCTTTAGGTCTGTACCTTCCACTCCACATGAGTTATGGACTGACAAAAACTTGATCTAGGTAATTTGTGGCGACAGGGATCAGCAACTTTTAATCACCAAACTTTTCATATGCTTGGACAGTTAGGTCCCAAAGGAAACAAATGTACCTTCATTAGATATCATGAACATTCCAATAGGTATGCTTTTGTTGGTAAAAGAAACTAATGGAAGTGTGACAAAGATTGAGTCACGAAATGCCACATTCCTGTAGGAGGTTTGTCCTACCGGAGGCGAGGCAACTAAGGATTTCCAGTTTTGAGTTTTGTAAATCGAACGATCTAGATTTATCACATGACAAATCAATTGAGAAAATATATGAAATTCCTCGTCCTCACGTGACTGGAGCAACACATCTGGTAGCCCGACTCTAATGAAACCAGATAGAACCTCAACCATGTAAAAGTGCTCACGGCAGGATCTCTCATCATCATTTTGAGATTAAGGGGGAGGTCTTCATGATAGCTCCAACAAATGACAAAAAGCCTAAAACTGTTTAAAAAGCTCTTGCAAGTCCTACTGCTAGAGAATGGACTAAAGCAATGCAGGAGAAAATGGAGTCTATGAAGAAACATTATGTTAGGGACTTGGTCAACCTTTTGCCTGGGCATCAGACAATTGAGAACAATGGGGTTCTCGAAATCAAACACAAGGCAGACGGGTCTATTGATAGCTATAAGATACATCTTGTGGCTTGTTAGAAGAGAGTATGAGTATTAGTTTAGCATTAGTTTAGTCTCACATTGTCTGTGAAACTAATTTATAACTAATCTATCTCTATAAATAATAAAGTATAGAGTGAGGAAAAACTCTTCAAAGAAACTCTTTGCTCTTCAAATCTTAACATGGTATCAGAGCCTATCTCTAACCCTAACCCTAATACTAATCCAAATTCCTAAGCCTAACATTAACGCCTAGCAACAGCCTCTCTCCAAAACCCTAGCCGCCAAAACCCTAGCCGCTTTCTCCAAAACTCTAACCACCTCTCTCCAAAACCCTAGCCGTCAAAACCCCTGCAGCCGCCTTATCATCCTCGTCTTTCTCGTCCTCGCCAATCGTCATCGCCCTCATCTTTCTCAGACAACTCCTCGTCCTCATGCCACGCGATCCAGCCCGCTCCTCTGGCCCTCGAGCTTCTCTCACCCGACGCGACAACTCCCACCCGACGCCGCTCGCCGTTGATGACCGCCGCCACCATGAGGCCTTCACTCTCCGCCACCATGCTCGCCGCGCGCCGCTCTCTTTTTGTTTTTGGATCTGAATCGGATCTGCGAGTTGTCCTGTAAAAAAAATACTTTCGAGTTCCATCTTAACCTTCGGGTTATTGATCTTTAACATTCGCGTTTCATGTTAACATTTTCTTGCACTTTAACCTTCGGGTTCAAAATTAAACATTTGGGTTCTTGGACTTGTTCAGCCTACTAGATAATTCAAGACTTATTTTTTTGAACTTGGACATACTTTGATTGTTCCATTTTGGAGTACAACTTGTGGAGGGTATTGTCTTGAACTCTACTCGTATGTTTCATGATGGACGGATCTAAGGAACTCAAGAATTCTGAGTTAACAATCCAAATGAAAGTTTCGGAGATATTTTCTAGTAGAATCACTAACCGAAAATCTTGATGGAATTAACTATTTCCAGTGGAAGCGTGTTATTGAAATCTACGTGACAGGCCGAGGCAAAACTGGTCATTTATTGACAGGCCCTCCTACTCCGACACCGGAATCTTGGACCAGTGTTCTAAAAAACGGCCTGGGCGGCCGCCTAGGCGCCCGCCTAGGCGCCCGCCTAGGCGGAGGCGTGCAGTCTTCAATCCCGTCGAGCTCGTCTTCAATCCCGTCGAGCTCGTCTTCAACCGGGATCTGGTCTTCGATCTCGTCGAGCTCGTCTTCGATCTTGCCTGGGAGCTCGTCTTCGAGTTCGAGCTCAACTTTCGAGCTCGTATTCGAGTTCATCTTCGAGTTTGTCTTCAAGTTCGTCTTCGAATTGGTCTTCACTCTTCAAGTTCGTCTTCGAAACTGCCTGGGAGCTTCGTCTTCGACTGGGAGCTTCGTCTACGAGTTCGTCTTCAACTGGGAGCTTCTTATTCAAGTTCGTCTTCATCTCCTCTGTAAGTAAAGGACTAAAGACGCTTAGCACAGATAACTTTGGATATTTTGGATTTCCCCCTTTTTTTTATTTGCACAGATAACTTTGGATTTGTATTACACAACTTCATGTTTAAACCTCGTAAACATGTACAGATTATGCAAGATTATGCAACATTAACGATGTTTTCACACATTAATCCACTTTTATTAAATGTTAACTTAATATATTTATATTATATTAAGTTTAATTGTTTAAGTTTAAACTGTAAATCTCAGAATTTTGAAAGAGAAAGTGTAAATATGTAATCATGGGGCTGTTTAATTGTTTAAGTTTAATTTTAAGTTCATTTTAAGTTTATAAGTAATTCTTGTTGTTCAAGGTTGTTCAAAGTTTAATTGTTCAAAGATTACATTTGTCCAAAGATTACAACTGCATTTGTTCAAAGATTACAACTGCATTTGTTCAAAGATTACAACTGCATTTGTTCAAAGATTACAACTGCATTTGTTCAAAGATTACAACTGCATTTGTTCAAAGATTACAAGTTTACAACTGTACATGGATCACCGCATTCACCTTGTAGTGATAGTTGCAGCAATAACGAATGAAGTTGCTGTTTTTGACCTACAAAATAGAACAATAATAAGTTTGGATAGCATATGTGTTGGTATTTTTGTATTTATGCAATGTTGATTGAGTATATATATATATATCTCTTCAAGTATCACAATTAAAAAAAGAAAAGAAAAAAACCGCCCAGAAACCGCTTAGGCGCCCGCCTAAGCGTCTAAGCGCTGGGCGCCAAGTCCGGCGCCTAAGAGCGCCTAGCGTTTAATGTAACATTGTCTTGGACATTGGACTATAGTGTCCTCTTGCATCAACTTCTTAATACTATGGAGCCTAAAATTCAGGATTTAGTTCTTCATTGTATGACAGTGAAGGAACTTTGGTGTTTTTGCAACATCTCTATAGGGGTAGCAGCAATATTAATCGGGCATATGAAGTAATTCAAGAGCTGTTTCGTAAGAAACAGGATGGTAAACCCATGGATGATCATTATGGTGAGTTCAATCGTCTGGCTGAGGAAATTCGTCAAATTTTTCCTATTACTGGGGATGTAAAACAAATGTAGAACCAATGGAATAAACTTATGATACTCTTGGACATCCTAGATTCCATTTACTCCTCTACTCGATCACAAATCATGGGGAGCTCCGCCATTAGTTCTCTGGCTGAGACTTGTCACTTTCTGAAAAACGTTGTCCCTACACAATCACTCACATCCACTGCGGATCGCTCTGCGCTTGCCACTCAGAGTTGGCAGTCTTATGGATGAGGAAGTCATACTGGTGATCCTAGAGAGGTAGAAGAAACTTTGAAGGGAGAGGAGGTTATCACACTGGTCGTTATGGAGGCCGAGGTGATCAACGAGGTGACCATGGAGGTTCATCTCAAGGCAGACATGCTCATGGCGATGATTAAGTGAAGACTTGTAACTACAGCCACCAGCCAGGACATCACAAATATAATTGTCCTGAATTAGAAAAGAAGGTCAAAGGTGTTTACATGACTGCTCAAGACAACATCATTTCATCTGATAGTGAAATTCAACCACAATCACTCTTCCATGATGCAGAGCTGCAGCATCAATTTTAGTAATTTTAATTATTTTAGCAGTACCTAAGTTCACAAACATCGTCTTCCTCTTTATCCACTACTCTCAAAAGTACAGGTACCCATTTATCTTTATTTGCATCGTCTTCATCTCATACTTGGATTATAGATACATGTGTCACTAATCATATAATTGGGAACGAAGATATCATGTCCTCTTTCTCTCCTACATCTAATTCAATTATATTAGTTGATGGTTCACACACACTTGTTCAAGGTGTCGGCAACACCAATCCTACCCCGAGTCTTCCCCTTTCCTCTGTATTCTATCTTTCTAGTTTTCCCTATAACCTTTTATTTATTAGTAAGATTACTAAATTACTAAACTGTACTATGACATTCTTTCTCACACATTGTGTCTTTCAGGACCTGGTCACGAGAAAAACGATTGGGACAGAACATGAGCAGAACGACCATTATAAACTGGACTTGGACGCTAAACATTTAGCTTGTATCGCAAACTCATCAGCTCTACAATACTACTGTCAGCTAGGGCATCTCTCTCTCTGTTCTCAAGCTTCTAAATGCTCAGTTCAAATCTCTTTCCTCATAAGAATGTGAGTCGTGTCAACTTGGCAAACACAATCGTGTGTCTTATCCTAATCGAGTCAATAAGAGGGCTGCTAAGCCATTTGATCTTGTTCATTCTGATATCTGGGGGCCACGCCCAATAACTTCTAAATTAGGATTCCGATACTTTGTCAGTTTGTGGATGATCATTTTTGTGTTACTTGGACTTATCTTCTCAAGTGAAAGTCTGAAGTCCTTTCTACTTTTAAACTTTATTATTCTGAAATAGTCAATCAATTCAAGACTTCGATAAAAATTTTCCGATCTGATCATGCAAAGGAAAATTTGGATGACAACTTCACTAGTTTCCTTGAACAACATGGAATCCTTATCAGTCTTCTTGTGTTTACACTCCTCAGCAAAATGGAGTTGTTGAACAAAAGAATAGACATCTCCTTGATGTTGCACGGACATTGCTATTCCATCGCCACGCTCCTAAAGAATTTTGGGAGGAAGCTATCTTAACAGCATGTGACTTGATTAATCAAATGCCCTCTTCTGTTCTGCAAGATAAAATTCCTTTCGAAGTTCTATACCCTAACGATGATCTCTTTCCGCTTCCTCCATAGATTTTTGGCTCTATGTGCTTTGTTCATAATCACAGTCCAAATAAACAAAAGTTTGACTCCCGGTCTATTAAAGGCATTTTTATTGGCTACTCCTAAAAGCATAAAGGTTACAAGTGTTTCTGTCCATCACTCAATCGTCTTGTGTTATCTGTTGATGTAACATTCTTTGAAGATAAACCCGATCATTCTAGTTCTCTATCTCCATTATCATCGGATGAGTATGACTATTTAATCTTGCAAGAGTCGTTGGTTAACGGTGGTGGTTCATCCGCTGACAATACTATTTACGCTACTGGCAAAGACTCAGCTAGATTTAACGACCTAATTCAAGTTTATCATCGTCATTCTGCTCCTGCTCCTGCTCCTGTGCCAACGTCGGCCTCAACACCACGTCCTCCGCCCAAAGAGCCTAAATCAGTAAGTGCAAATTTACCCCCTTCTGTGGAAGACCTTCCTACTGCACTTCGAAAAGGGACACGAACTTGTACTCAATATCATATTTCTAACTTTGTCTCCTATGATCGCCTATCCTCTACTTTTCGATCTTTTGTTACTTCCCTCGACTCATATTTAGTTCCCAAGAATGTGTTAAAAACTCTATCTATTCTAGGTTGGAACCAAGCGATGTAGGACGAAATGAAGGCCTTGCAGCAGAATGAGACTTGGGATTTGGTCTCACTTCCACCAGGAAAGCAGCTCGTCGGCGGCAAGTGGGTGCACACTGTCAAGTTGAATCCTGATGGAATTTTGACACGCCTAAAAGCCCAACTGATTGCTAAAGGCTGTTCACAGGAGTATGGCTTGAATTACGTAGATACTCTCTCCGATGGTAAAAATAACATCTGTTCAGATTTTTGTTTCGTTAGCAGCGACAAACCACTGGCCACTTCATCAGTTAGACATCAAGAATGCATTCATTAATGGTATTCTAGATGAGGAGGTTTACATGGAGCAACCACCAGGTTTTGTTGCTCAGGGAGAGAATGTGAAGGTGTGCAGACTGAAGAAATCACTCTATGGTCTAAAGCAGTCTCCGAGAGCCTGATTTGGACGTTTTGCATCGGTTATTCGAGAATTTGGATTTTGTCGTGCACAAAAAGATCACTCTGTCTTCTGGCGATTTCAGAATGGAAAATGAATTATGCTAGTTGTCTATGTGGATGATATTATAATTACAGGGGATGATGCTTCTGGTATTGACAGCCTAAAGAAGTATTTACACACATTTCCTAACCAAAGATCTTGGCTTCCTAAAATACTTCCTAGGTATTAAAGTTGCAAAGTCAACGAAGGGTATTCTTCTATCACAAAGGAAGTATACCTTCGACATGCTCTCAGAAGCCGGGATGTTAGGATGCAGAAGTAGTTATTCTCCAATTGATGTAAACTCAAAACTACTATCAGACCAGGGGGAGCATCTTAAGGATGTTGGGTAGTATAGGAGATTGGTGGGGAAACTGAATTATCTGACGACCAGATCTGACATCACATTCGCAGTCAGTGTTGTGAGTCAGTTCTTATCCACACCAAGAACTACTCACTTGGATGCAATAATGAGAATTTTGAGATACTTAAAAAAGACTCCAATATGAGAAATTCTCTATTCAGATCAAAGACACCAGAGTTGCAGGCTTCTCTGATGCAGATTGGGTTGGATGTCCTTTTGATAGGAGATCGACAACTGGATATTGTGTCTTTCTCGGAGGAAATCTGGTGTCATGGAAGAGTAAGAAGCAAAGTGTTGTCTCGATCCAGTGCAGAATTAAAATACAGAGCTATGACAAATGTGACACTAGAGATGGTTTGGATCAAAGACCTATTGACAGAGATTGGTCTCCCTCCAGAATGTCCCATGAGTCTATATGGCGATAATAAAGAAGCAATTCACATTGCCGAGAATCCCGTGTTTCACATTGAAGTCGACTGTCATGTAATCCGCAAGAAGCTCGAGGATTAAATCATCACGGCAAAACATGTATTGACAGTACATCAGTTGGCAGACATTCTTACAAAACCACTTGGTTGAACACGGGTTGACTTTATTTGTGACAAGCTGGACATGCATGATATATATGCTCCAATTTGATGGTGAGTGTTAGAAGAGAGTATGAGTATTAGTTTAGCATTAGTTTAGTCCAACATTGCATGTGAGACTAATTTGTAACTAATCCATCTCTATAAATAATAAAATATAGAGTGAGGAAAAACTCTCCTAACAAACTCTTTTCTCTCCAAATCTTAACATGACTAAACCAAAGACTATACTCAAAAGAAAGAATCGATTATCAAGAAACCTTCTCACTGGAAAGAATCGATTATCAGGAAATGGTATAGCCTATAAATAACTAAGTGTTAATCTTCATTCAAAGACCAACATATGTCCCGCTCTACTCCTAACGAGATGTATTTAGTGACGGACAACTCGAGCTACTCCGTAGACCGATGACTTGCGTAGCCGACTAAAAAAGTTGTGTTTGTCAGCCTACCCACCAGATCGACACTATAGGCACCCACACTCGGTCTGCCATTCCAGCCCAGTGCTATCGAGGCGCAAGGTGCAATGCGAGGCGCAAAGGTCCCTTACCCGTACCAAGCGCAAGGCGCACAACGATGCGCGCGCCTCACTGAGGTGCACAACTCAAACTAATATTTTCCAACATAAGACAAAGAAATATAAAAGCAACATGTTTATAAATTCTCACATAAAAAAACTAAAAAATATAATTTCACTTACTAAATCACAAAAGAGTTTTAATTGGCTAAATACCCATATTGGTATTTTAGTTCAACCTCATTTGCCAAGAAGGTATT